AAGGTCTTTAGGTTGGATGAGCTTTATGCTAGTTAAACTCAAAAATTGTAAAATCTTTGCACTTTCAGTTAACAAACAGCAACAAAGTAATACATTAAGACTGAGGTATCTTTAGCTTTGAAGAGGGGTATCCTCCAGATACGGATTGCAAAGACCCTTGGTAAGGGCATGAAATAGCAGAAGCTAAAGCGGATTCCCATCTCTTGACATTTACTTCTATCGCAATTGTAATCGAGTGAATGTGATTGTTGTTGCTTGGCCGTGCTTTTTAGAGCTTGAAGTTGTGTGTGGCCGAGCCTTCCATGATATATCTCTATATGTATATGTATGTATGTGTTCCACGCTGGTCTTGTTGTGAACTTCTTAAACGTGTCAATTGTCATTACCGACAATTTGCCAGCGGAAACGAGAGCGTTGATCGGAATCGCATGTGGCGAAGTGTAACCACTTCTCCAAAAGGGGTACAAAATCAATAAATAGCTCAGAGCTTCTTCTATTTTTTAGCGTTCTATCTTTCGTTTTTGTTGTCTGCGCGCGATGGCAATTAATTTGTTACTACCAGAGGGCGGAACAACGCAGCTGGCAACAACAATAGCCGGCAGTAGCATTAACAACAAAAGCGGCAATGGCGAAAAGTCGTTTGTCATTTCCAGTTAACGAGTAATTAAGCATAGCGTTAGAATTTTGCAACAACGCCACAGAGAACAAAAGAAGCTCCAGCTCCAAGCTTCGGTTTCAAAAGGAGGCGGTGAAAATGACAGCGAAAAAGTCTGGCGAGGCATACACACCACACCATGTGATGTTTAAAAGGTTTCTGGCCGTTATTCTTTTTGTTTTTATTTCAGTGTTAGTTCGCCCTAAAAACTGAATATTATGTTTCTGTTCACGAACAGATGGGTAAAAACTAAAGACATTTATTTGAGAGAAAAGGCACAGAGAAGCAATCTTCTGGGCAGTCAAAAAGATTAATGACTAAATATATAAAAATATTCTTGATAATTGATCATCTGTGTTCGGGGTGGTTTCTATAAAACCTCAATAATCTTTTATCTTTTTAAAACATTTGTGGTTGTTAGGGGCATTGATTACCAAAGTAATGGCCAAATATTGTCAAAGCTAATATTTATGCTTTGAAAACTTATAAAAGCAATGGAAAACCCCAGCTTAGTTTTCCTTTAAAATGCTTTTTCCTTTTATTTCAGAGTGTTTCTCAGCATAGGAATAGTATAAAGAGTGAGTGTAAATTGTGTTTCTTGTGCAATTAATGCACAATTTGCCACTCAGCCTCTCGAGAGTCACGCTCTTTTGTCGTCGGGCGAGTATCATCTCTCATATCAAAGTAATGTAAAGTAAAGTGAAGGAGAGAGGTCGGAAAATAAACAAACAAGAAACAAACGCAGGGAGAAAACAACAACAAACAGAAACAGAGTGCAGCAACTGCAGCGAACAGACTGAGACGCCAGCAAGGGCAGGGGGAAAGAGGCAGAAACTGAGAAGAAAAAGGAAAAGCGAAGGCGAAGGCGACAACCGATGACAGCGTGGACAAACACATGTACATACATAGATACATGCATACAGTTTGTACACACCCAGTCGAGTGTGTGTATGCTTGTGCATTCATTGAAAAATAAAAATGTACCGCAACAAGAATGACGGCATATAAAATGTTCAAGTAATTGTCGCCGAAGTTCCGACACGTTTGATTCCCATTAAGTTTTAAATTAAGAGATGCAGTTCAAGCAATAACCTTTAATTTATACAGCATTTTTAATGTGATTCAAATTAAAATAATAATTAATAATTTCTACACAATCAAAAATACTTGAACATAATGTATAAAATACAATTGAGATATTAAAGCCTTAAAAATGTTTATAAAAGTATGACAGTCAAATTTTTAGGTACCGAACTCTCTGTAATTTTTTTTGTTCTATACTTATATTGTTACGTTTTTTTTTAAGGGTATATCTATAACTATAAAATCTCCAGCTCTGGATTGTAAATATAGTAAAACCCAAAAACCTGTCCTGAAAATCATGATATTTACATAAACAAACTGCAAAAAAAATTAATTCTACTAATTTTAACCACCCTATTTTTAACTTAAGTTGTAATTTAGTCGCAAATTTGTACCTCTACAACCACGTTTGTTCCCTTACAAGACTGATAAAATAAAGCTACAACAATTTCTTTAATTAACATCCACAAATCCAGTTTGGATCGTCAAATTGCATTAATCAAGCAGTTTTTTTGGGGAAAATAGTGATTTCCAAAGTGCGAAGCGACACCTCCCTCCCCATCCATCCCCTTCTTTGCAAGCATAATAAAACCAAACCAAACAAAACAAAACAGGCGATAGATAGACAGATAGAAGACAGGCGAGACAAGACGAACGCCACAAAACAAGCCGGGCAGGGCAACAACGACAATAACAACAAGTTGCAAGCGAAAGCGATAAGAAATTGAAAAAGTGCGTGCCGCAGTGTCTGTGTGCGCAATGCGAGTGTGTATTTTATGGATACAGATACATACACCAGCAAGATGCAGTTCGTTGCCTGAAGACAACCGCCGAATGCCGCCTTGTACCTGGTTTTTTGTTTTGTTTTCTTTTTTTTTTTCGTCTCTCGTTTTGTTGAGGGGAATTACTTAATAATTTAACCAATTCGAAATTCGAAATTCCCAACGCGTTTTTTGCACTTTGCTTTCACGCATTTCGGCTTTTGTTTGTTTGTTTCAATGTTTTTTAGTCGTGGTCGTGCGCATAAATTGAAAAGCCAAAACCTGGAGCACAATTCTGGTGTTGTTTCGTGTAATCGTGTTTATTGTTGCCACGTCCGATAATTATAAAGTGAGTCTGCCTGTCGGTGCTTATGTGCCTGCGACTCTGGTGACTGTGTCTGTGTGCGAGTTAAGTTTATTTATAAATTGTTGTCTTCGCATTGCTTTTTATAGCGCTGCATTTGCATTTTGTCGATTCGTTAAGTTTTCCTCTCTTGTGCACTTTTCTTTTGATTTTCGAATTAGAGTTGCGCCAACACACAGACTCATACACCTCTATTGATCGCCATTGAAATGTGGCCCACGTAGGGCCCATTCTTAGTCAATATCCGCTCTACGTTGGCTCGAGTTTTCCTGGAAGCCCCCCATTTCGTAATAGTCACCAAAAAGACAACAACAAATATAAGAGATTCCAATTAAATGTTTACTATTTAAGCAAGATACAATATCTTTTGGGCAGATAAGATTAAAACACTGCCAGGATGTGGCTGTATTTCTAACTGAATACATTATTTAGATATGGATGAACAAAGATCTTCATGGAATTGCGAACTTAATATGTAAATATATTTAAATAAACATAAACACTGAGAAATGTAACTATGTACATATGTCTTATTTATCTGGCTATTTTTATTTCTTTACGTTTCCATTAAATTGCCAATAAATTGATCTTTACATGAGTAAAAACAATAGTAAAACCAATAAATTGTCATTTCATTTACTTTTGCTTTTCAATATTTGCGCTTGCCTTTTGTTGTTTTATTTTGCACTCGGCTCTAAACATTTGAGTTGAGTGATGAAGCGGCGACGACAGTAAATAGTAAATGAAAGCAAAACAAGCCAGAAAATTGATACAGAGTGTCTTTTGTGTGTTCTGTCCACCCACTGCCACCTACTTCCCCCGCCACACCAGTGCTCCCATCAATTAAAGCGACGATGACATCACGGGCTACGGCAAACAATGATGACACGTCAAGGAGGACTCTCGTTTCATTTCGGATAGCTTTTTCGCCTTTTTATTTTCTCTCTTTTTTGTGGGTTGTGCAAATTGAAATGCTTTCACATACATGAGTTCGCCGCCAGACAACAGCCATGGTCATCACCATAAAAAGCTGGAAAAGTGGAAAATATTCTTATCAACGATGAAGGGGCGGGTCCCTGTTAAAGCGCCCGGTTCAACTTTTCTAACAATTTCAGAGTTTGATAAAAAAAAATACATTTAATAAAAGCTTTATCCTAGGATAAAATTCTTTGAATTTTGTAGTTTTTAATTAAACTGGCTTTTGTGTGTATGTATGTATATTGGTTTTGGAGAAAGTCTTTTTCCCAGAAATTCAGCTTTACTAAACACTTCATCTTTATAACCTCATAAATCATTAAAATATAAAAAAAAGACATCTTTGCATGAATGTATTTTATTCTCATTTATTTGATTCTGTTGGAAAATACTTATAGAAGCGACCATATTTCCTTCCAAGAACTCAAATGTTATATAGACATTCGAGGTATGCAAACAACCTTAGAAGAAATTCCACTGGACTTCACACAATAAATTGGTACACATTTTCCATGTAATTTAAGCCTTTTCTTAGAATTTATGTATATTGACAGGAAAAGTGAATATTGCGAAGTGACTGAGACTTCCTTTAATAATTTCTTTAAATAATTTATGACTGAATTCCTTAATTAAGGAATATAAAATTTAACCAATCCTAATTTAAAAATTGTACTTTTAATATTTGTGAACCAATTTATTATGCATTTAAAATTAATTCGATTACAAATAAATAAAAAATATTTTTATTCATTTTTCTTATTTCTTAATTAGTAGTAAAAATATTTTTAAAATTATTTGCACCAACATCGAATATGAAGTTTCTATTATCCTCAGTTCACCAAACAAGTAGGGCATTATTTGCAAGGATATCCTTGACATTTTGGTCGGGTTAACTGAGGGTTCCTTGGGGAATCGCGGCTTCTAGAGCTTGGCCCGTAAATGATAATGTTGCAGTCCCAAAAGTGAAGCCAGCAGGGAGCTGTTGCTGTTGCTGCTGCTGCTTGCTGCCCGGTGGTTGATGAAGTCATGGTTGGGTGGGGGTCAGGGGGCGGGGGACACCACCCGGCCCAGACGGGAATGACACACCGAGACGGAGACAGAGACCGAGACAAAGACAGGCAGGAGGGTAGGAGGAAAAGGAGGCCATTGGGCAGCTACTCACCGCTCCGCAATCGGCTGCCGGCGAATTCTCGACAATGTCGTAGATGACATGTGGCGGTCCGGTGGTGCCGAGCAGCGAAAACCCGAAGCCGGAATGCTGCTCACTGCGGCGCAGCACCACCTTCAGTTCCTCGGTCATGTTGGGGTCCCTTCTTTCTGGCGCTCCTGCGGCTCCTTGTTCCAGGGATCGGTGTCTGTCCGTCCCTATTGCGTGTGGTACTTTTCACAGTTGCGCTTCACTTTTTTAATTAATTCTCGTTTTGGGCTTGGCCAACACTCAACTCCACTTCATTTACACTCAGACACTCGCTGCCGCACACTCACACTACACACTCACAGCACACGCAGGCACACACGCACTCAGGGTTTACAGCCTAAAATTGACGCTTTTTCGAATTTTTATAAACATTATTGCACTTTTTATTTTCCCTTCTTTTCACGCTTCTTTTCGTCTACGCAAACTTGTTTAATTTTTTCCACCTCTCTCTGTCGCTTCTATTCGGCTGGTTTCGTTTCTGGCTCTTTTCGCCGCCGTTCGCGGGGCCGGGGATAAAGGGGCTTAATTATTAGGACTTATTCTAGGACGCCCGTGGGTGCCAGCTATCGCCGCCGACATTGCCGTCCAGCTATTTTGCCACAAGTCGCGTTGATAATTTACTTTTTCCGCGAAAACGAACAAAACGAACGAATTAGAGGTGCAAAACAGAGGTGCCCGTTCAGCCTATTTCAGGCCAGATCTGGCGTATTTGCAGCTAGCTAATTTTAATACTCATCTAGCATATTCTGGCAATAGTTGCATTCGTGACATCAACGATTTATTTTATAAGAAAAAATGGGTAAATTGTTAATTTTACTACATAAAACAATAAACATTTTTGTTCATATGCTGCGAGCTGAAAAAAATTTGATTTTATTCAAATTTTTATTTACTTGCATTTGGATATAGGTAGTTATATTTTTGTTAGTATATTTTAGTTTACCCATTTTAGCTTTTTTCTCTGAATCTATCTTATTCGAGAGCTCATCACTGTAGTGTTGTCAAAAAAATCTCACAAAATGAATAATCCCCCTCCAAGGTGCTGGCCACACTTAAAAGGTTTAAAACTTTGATAAAGATCTCCGGTTTGCATCCTTGCTAAGCATCGATGGCAAAGTCGTGAAAGATTTCAGCGCGAAATTTAAATAATAAATACAGTCTTGTTAGTAACAAGTTGTTACAAAATGAAAACATTTGTCTTTTATTAAAGTTTTTTTTCTGATTGCGTTTTTTAAAGGCAAGTGAATTCTCCAATTCACTTATACAATAGCTTTGTATAAGACATTATAGTTTCTACTTATTCAGTTCTCTAAGATGGGATTGGAGAGTCCAGTATGTAGGAATAGATGGAAAAGTTGAAGTTGTATTAGAAAACTCCAATACCTTTGGCTGCCATTTGGAAGAGTCTCTGACTATAAGTCCTTGTTTTCCTTGTATTAGAGCTGGCATAAATTCCTCGACTGCTCATCCATTAGCTACCATGTGGATTATGTCAGGCCGAATTGGTTTTATTTTTAATAAGGAAAATATTGCTACTTATTTAAAAAAACAATTTTGATTACTCTGTACGATTTATCATACTAATTAACCATCAGAGATTAAAGGCCAAACATTTGAACTACGCAACAACGTAAATATAAGAAATATTTAAATTGACTACTCTAAAATATGTTTTTATAATACAAGAGAAAAATAAGGTTCAGAAAATCATTTCTTAAAAAACAAAATTTTTTTTTTTTTAATTTAACCTACTTCTAAAGTATTATTATTTTTATTATTTATTTGAGACATTGAAAAACTGGCCCATTACTAGTTCAGTTTAATATCTATGTATATAAATTGATTAATATAAGTCCTGTAATATAATATAATATAAGTTCTGTAATATAAGTCCTTATGTTTGATAATATAACAAACTCTATCTATATCGGAGATTAATTCTTAATTATGGGAGTTTACCTAAATGGCACAAAAAAAGATAGCTTTCGATTTTGTTAAAAATTAAAATTAAATTTAATTCTCATTACTTGAAACAATTTATATAGAATTGAATGATTGTCGAGCCCCTTTTTTTATTATTCTGCCATTTTGTGCCAATTATGATATCAAACTCCACTTTGTATCGGGGAAATCTGGGGATTTACGCTCCGTGGCCAAGCGTAGTCCGGCGCATCATCTTAAGAGCGCGTGCAATTGCGACTTTCAGATAAATATCTCCGACTCGTTTTACGACCTGCCGACGGTTAGCTGCCTATTCAAATTTTATAGCTCCCGCAGTTAGCTGGTGGGCACAAAGCACTTGACTCATGCCACATGGAATTAGATGTCTGTCCTGCATCCACTTCCGTTTCTGACCGGACGACGGGGGTCGGATTCGGGTTTGTTGTCACAACAGTTCGGGGCTGAGACAACAAGCCGATCTGTGGGTGTCATAACCGCTCATATTCGTAGCTCGGGCACGCGACGATTCCCGGGGTCTGTCTTCTGTGGGTCCAGATGTTGCGCCCAGCACAATTATCATATCAGCAGCACATCATTTGCAGCTAAGTGAAAAAGCAGATTGAGGCGATCGCAGAGGCAGCCTTTCCTTAATAAGCGGCTCCCGCGGGTCCGAGATCTCAGTATTAGTTTTGCCACAGAAGCGAAGAGAGCCGAAATGAAGAACTACAGCAACCCCATCGCAGACTACGACTCCAGTTACTACGTGGATATTACCAAGTCTTGGCTAAATCAAGCTGAAGGATACACGGACTGCAGCTATGGATACGACCAGAGTAGAGTTTACATGGACTACGATAAGGGGCAGGCCAATTGGTCCAGAGAAGCCACCGATCCATGGCTGCTTAATGATGCTGCCTCAACCTGCCAGGACCTCTCCAACCAAACAACTAACAAGCCACGGGCCAGCTCCTCTAATCGTAAGGAACGCACGGCCTTCACCAAGTCGCAGCTGAAGGAGCTAGAGACGGAGTTCTGCTTCTCCAACTACCTGACCAGACTGAGGCGCTACGAGATCGCTGTGGCCCTGGAGCTTTCGGAGCGGCAGGTCAAGGTGTGGTTCCAGAACCGCCGCATGAAGTGCAAGCGTGTCAAGCTGGAGGAGCTCCAAGGGGTCGATACCAAGACGCCACAGTTCTAGTTTGTACAAGGACATATTTTTAACACAATTCAACTTACAAAATGTTTTTGTTTACTTAACAACTACAGATAGTAAAGGTATTCTAGGCTACTTCTTTGACTTCTTGGCCTTGCCTATGGGAAGAGGTTTGGCCAGCTTCTTGGCTGCGGCCAGCTGCAGCTTGTGGGTGGCGACATTCTTTGTTGAAATCTTCCCTGCCTTGGCGACAACTGGTGTGGGTTTCTTTTTCTGGATTCCGCCAGTACCGGGCTTGCGCTTCAGCTTATCCGCCAAGCTTTCGACGACGCCTTTGGTCTTCTTTTGCGCCTTTTTTGCCGGCACCGGAAGTTCCTCCTCTTCCTCGTCGCTGTCATCGCTGGCCTGTTCATCGTCCTCGTCCTCCTCCACCTCAGACTCATCGTCGCTGGCATCCTCATAATCCTCATCGTCGGAATCCTCGTCGATGGTGGTGCCCAGCAAGTCCTCTAGCTTGGGCGACTTCTGCTTCTTGTCGGACTTGGCTGCCTTGCTGGTTGAGGCCTTAGCTGTCTCTGCCTTTGGAGCATCCTTTGACTTCTTGATTGGCTGCACGAGCAAGTTGGAAAAATCTATGCCCAAGTCCTGGTACTTCTCCTGCAGCTTCTTGATTTTGTTGAGGTTATTCACTGTGCGCTTCTGGCAGGCAGATTCATCCCAGTTGTTCTGCTTTTTGACGCTGCGCTGGGTGGCTTTGGTCACCTCCGAGACGTAGATCTCCTTACCAGCCTGTGGAAATTATATTGGTTTATTTTCGTTTTATGAAGACTTACTACGCATAAACTTACCTTATTCGTCACTTTCTTCAAGGAGGTCCTAAAGTAATTGAAGGCCTGCTTCTCCGGGGGAATGTAGGAGGCCTTGACCACCTTCTGGAACATAAGGTAGTTGTCCATGGTGTCGGCCGCCACCTTGGCCACCTCCGGATACTCAAACTCGACAAAGGCATAGCCCTTGCTGTTGCCGGTACGTAGGGAGCGGGCCAACCGTACACGGAGCACACGGCCGAACTGGCGGAAGTACTGGCGCAGTTGCTGCTCGAAGAATCCGTGCGGTAGGTGCTTCACAATGATCACGCCGCGCTCCGGACCCTTCTCCTTTTGCGGCTTGGCCTTGTCCACCTTTTTCTTCAGCTGAAAAATGGAGGAGGTTTACAGTTACCAGACTGAGTCCATCTGAGCTGTTGTTTTCGTTGGTACGCGCTCTCACCTGCCCGGAAACGACTTCCTTGGGTTTCTGTATTGTTTTAATGGGCGAGGCCTGCTTATCAACCTTCTGGGGCTTGGGCTTCTTTACAGGCGGCATTTTAAATGGTGTTATTTGTATAAAATCAACAGTAAAAGAATAAAATTTACAAAAAAGCGCCGCACGTGGAGCTCCAAGACATCGGTTTTACTATCGATATATCGATCTTTATTTTCAAACACCGATGTTTGTTAAAAAGATCTTTTTATTTAGTTGTCAAATTGATGTGGTAAAAAAATATAACTTTTTTTAAAATTATGTTGATATAATAAAGAATATTCACTTTCAGTTATCAACAATATCAAACACGGTTAATATCGATAAATTGACGACTTCTATGGTATTTAAGTATTTCAGGCCGTCTGGTCGCACTTAATGTATTTCTTTTGCGCATTTTTTGTTTACAACAACGACACGAAGAAACATTTACAAATTAAATGGATATATCCGTTTCCTCGCTAAACACCTCCACTCTGGAGGAGGACGAGGTGCGCCTGGGGTATACTCATGATGACATCAAATCGTTTCTCTACAAATCGTCCATAGGCTGGTGGTTTCCATTTGTCGATGAGACCAAAGCCACCAAGCGGGTAAACACAAATTAATTTAAGTTTAATAAGTTATAACTAACAAAGTGCATATTGTTGTTTAGCTGCTGGATCAGTTCATGATCTGCTTAACAACCTGCGCTCCGAAGAATCTGAAGGAGCTGCTTGATCTGTTCACGTTGTCCATTATGATGATGACATACCAAAAGGACGATTCCCAACTGATGAAGGAGCGTTTGAACTTTGTCGAAACAGTCAGCCAACTTCCATTCACTCTAGACACAGAAGGGGTTCAATACATTGCCATTGGCTTGCACAAGAGCTTGGTGGATGAAGCGCTGGGAAAGGAGCGCTTGGAACGAGTGCTGGACATTCACGACGCCATTCCCGCTTTGGTGAAGTCCTCGAAGCTGGGCAACGATATCGCGGTGGCCCTTCTGCTCACCATTATGGGGCATTACGCGAAAGTACCAGTCGAATTGGGGAGCAACAATGTAAGCCTAGCCGCTGGTGTTTAGTTATTTCATTAATCTGGTTCAAAATTTGCAGGCGCAGAAGGCCTTCGCATTGGCCAAACTGGTTAATTGGCAGGAGCTGGCGGACAGTGACCGACATGCGGACATGTTTATGCTAATCCGCACTTTCAGCTTAATTATCAACTGTCGCAGCTCGCGTGAAGAGTGTTCCGAGTGGAAGGATCTCAGTGCGGAGATACACAAGTACTTTCTGCAAGTGCGCAAGGCATTTGATAATTCGATGGTCTACGGGGCCTTTGAAATGATGGTCAGTTTTGCATTAATTCCAAGGGTATTATTTTTATATTTCGTTTTCTAATTGCAGGTAGAGCGCTTCATTGCATATTGCGTTGTTCGAGGGGCCACAGCAACGTAAGTAAAAGAAAAACATGTATATTATGGAATGTTAATCGTTTATTTCCTATACTCAGCCCCCACTTCTGCGACTTTAAGATATGTGACGATACAAATACAAATACAACCAACGCAGAGGCTTAGAGCCAATTGACCGATTATTTGTTAAGTGTATAGTTTGTACGAGTAAACGTTAAGACAGTGCCTAAAGTATTCTATGTGTATCTGGACATATTAACCATACAGCTGAGATGAAATAAACACACCAAATTACCTAGTTCTTAAACGCAAGGGGGAGTTTTAATTTTAAAATAACTATGTGTCAATGATGACCTTGACTTTTGTATCGCCCGCCTTTATTGTCATTTCGGCTGGTCCCTCTAAAATCTAAATGTACCTGCCCAGGATGAAATACAGTTTCTTCGTAGCTTTTAATTATCTTTATTATTTAATTTTATCTTACAAACGCTCATTTATCGGGCTTTATTCAGAATCCCTTTAAAATTGTGAAATAAAATACAAAACTATCTCAACGTTTTTTTTTAGTACCTTTCCTCAGAAAATTGTGATTTTTTGGCGCTCTGGCTGCGGTCACACAGAACGCCCGACGGCACGTGTTGACTGCATTTAAAAAGCTTTTTTAACAACATTTGGCAGGAGTTGCAGTGGCCGAGCCAGTCGCAGTAGTTGCTCAGCATGTTCTACCTAATCGGCCTCGGCCTTGGCGACCTCAAGGACATCACGGTCAAGGGTCTGGAGATAGTGAAACAGTGCAGTCGTGTGTACCTGGAGATGTACACTTCGATTCTGGGCTGCAGCCTTGAGGATATGGTAGGTATCCCTTGACACATGTTGCCCCCACTCTCACTCACTCGCCCGTGCTTCCGCAGCAAGAGTTCTACGGGCGGCCGCTGCTGCTGGCGGACCGCGACCTGGTGGAGCAGGGCGCTGACGAGATCCTGGCAGGCGCTGGAGAGTCCGACGTGGCTCTGCTGGTGGTGGGGGATCCGTTCGGGGCCACCACCCACACAGACTTCATATTGCGCGCCAAGGAGAAGAACATCCCCTACAAGGTCGTGCACAACGCCTCCATCATGAACGCAGTGGGCTGCTGCGGCCTCCAGCTATACAAATTCGGCGAGACGGTGTCCATTCCGTACTGGGACGAGACCTGGAAGCCCGACAGCTTCTACGACAAGATCAAGCTGAACCGCCTGCACAACATGCACACGCTGTGCCTGCTGGACATCAAGGTGAAGGAGCCCACGCCAGAGTCCCTGATGCGCAAGCGCAAGGAGTATATGCCGCCGCGCTTCATGAGCGTGGCAGAGGCAGCCCACCAGCTGCTTGCCATCGTGGAGAAGAAGGACGCCCTGGAGCGGAACACGGTTCTCAACGAGCAGTCACTGTGCGTGGGTCTGGCCCGCGTCGGCCAAGAGTCGCAGCAGATTGCTGTGACCACGCTGCTCGAGATGCGATCCACCGACATGGGCGGACCGTTGCACTCGCTCATCATTCCCGCCAAGGAGATGCACCCGCTGGAGGTGGAATTCCTGCAGCAGTACGCCAGCCTGAAGCTGGACGACTACAACCATTAATTAACCGCTGCAAGTTACCTATTTAAGTGTCTAGGAAATGTCTGTGCATGCATCTGAATTGAATTTACGAAGCTAGAAGCTGGCAGCTGTAAGCTCGAGGCTCTGCCTGTGCAAGGAAGGAAAGTGATATCGCTTGATGCCACCCGTATACGTATGTATGTAGCCCGCCGGTCCTCCGGCAATTGAAATAAAACCGCATTCACCCATCGTACATTATCGGGGGCTTTAATGGGGGGCCGCACATCAGTAGTAGAGGCCTCGCATGCGGCGTGAGGATCCCTGGCGGTCGTATAGCATGTTGAACTTGTTCACAAAGTGGTGCATGTCGTTGCAGCCCTTGGTGAGGGTGCCCAGATAGCTGATCAGTCCGACGTCGTTGCACTGCGTATAGAACTCCTCCTGGAAGGCGGGTACCTGCATTACGGGCAGCCGGTGGCACAGGGCGTAGGCCTCGCGTAGAATCTCTTGGTTCGCCCGCAGCTTGCCGGCCTCGACGTCCCGAATGTACTGCAGCACGATCTTGATGCGCGTGTTCAGCATCTTGATGGCGCTGTCCTGGGCCACCAGATGCTCGGCCACCACACTCTTCTCGCCAGACTCGTTGGAGGTCATGCGTGCCACATGGTCCACTCCGATGCGCTCTGCCTCCTCTGTGGCCAGTGTGTATGTGAGGGGCACAAACAGCATGGTGGCCTCGCCGTCCACCAGGTCAATGAGCGATTCGAACAGCTTCAATGGGAGGTGGTCAACGCTCCGGGAAAGCGGATTGAGCTGCAGCAAGATGGGACACTCGTTGATGGCGGCGATCTGTTTCTGGATCTTTATGTCATCCGCCGTGGGGTTCTCGCCGGTTGTGTACCAGCCTATAAAGTCGAGATCGCTGAAAACCTGTGAAAGTACACGATTATAGAGTGATTTTGGCAACGGAAGATTTTGACATTATCCACCTGCTTGTACTGCTGCTCCTTCTTGTTGTAATAGTCCTTGTTGATCACCGTTTCATCCCCGATTACGTCCGTCTTGAGCTCGAATGAGTTCATAATCTCAATGTTGCGCCCCTTCTGCTTGCCAATTATGGCTCCGTACACCTGACGCGGCTCGCCGTGCTGTGCCCGGAAGCGCGTCCAGTGCTCCGATATATTCATTATGACCAGCGGATGCAGCGAAATGGTCACCGAACCGCTGGTGCCCGGCGCAGCCATGATATTTCCCTTGGGCGGCTGCTCCGTCGCTGGATTTTGGTTTGGGGTCGGATCCTGTGAGTTGGTGGCGCCGCCGGAGGCTGACGAGGTGCTCGGCTTGGCCGACAGGTCCACATCCACTTCCATTTGCTCCATGCTGTCAGGCGGCTCTCGATTAATCGTAGTTAGCGGTAAAAAGTCACCTTAAATTCTTTTTGTTCTTTTGTTTGATTATAGAGCTAGTGTGACCGTAAGCTGCCCGATAAAAAATGCCCCTATAATCGTCATCACTGAACTAGTTCAGACGGTACGAATAATACTTCGCTAGTTCGCGAGACACAGTAAAGGGTTGCCAGACTGACTGCAAGACCGTTATTAATTTTGAAATTGTTCGTTTCTTTAATTTTTACTTTAAACTTAAATTGATATCGAAACTGTTAATTACATTTATGGAATTCAAATAATTTAAATTGAATTTCATTTCGCATTTCACACATGACATATTATCGCTAGCTTTTAAATTATTTTGCAGCTGTTGCTTTAGTTTAAAGAATATGCTTTTGATTTATCGCCTACTGGTATTACTCGTTTTCCATTTCAACACTTTTAATAGCAGTAGAACGGAATTTGTTATTATTCAGAACTTATGCTAGTGCCATTATTGATTTCCTATGTCGACACTTTAAAAGTCGTGCTTAAGCCTTTGCTTTGTGCCTTTGGCAAGAAAGAAGTTTTATCAATTCCGGTATTTCCGATCGGATTTTCTATTGTCAGCTCTTGGAATTTATTGATCTCTTCCGCCACAGTGACCCTGCCTTGTCCCCCTCCCCTAGTTGCTTAGAACGCAGAGGCAGTTATTCTGGCAACAAAAGCCACTTGGTTGGTTTTTTAAAATTTGTCTTTTCTTCGCTTTTATTTGTCTTCGCTTTTAATTTCGTGCTCGCGCCGTATTTGTTCGTGCGAATTTTGTAAGTTAGACTAGTTGGCTTAGGACTACAAATATTTAACATTAACATTTAACAGGCTATTTACAAATCGTCTATACACAATTACAATTATCTCTTATGACTACGGGCGGGCAGCCAGGCGCCCTTTTCAATTAAATCTAAACGCGTTTCGTTTGTGAGGTTCTAGAATTAGGCGACTTACACTCTAGGCAGATCTCGAAAAGTGACCCAGTTTGTTGTACAGTTCCACATGCGGATACAGAAAGTACAGAATGCAGAAGCGGCTGGCTGGATGCAGCGGCAAGGGCAAGCAAAGCGGTCAAGCAAAGCTGGCCAGAGGCTGGGGGGGACGATCAGATTGCGCATACGCCCCGTGTTCGCCTGTTCCTGTTCATCGATCGGTCGTCAGCCGGCGCTTCTCTGTGTGTGCATGCTTGTGTTTATGGCTCTTAAGCTTAGCTTAGCGTTAGTTGAAACCTTTGTACCAAAACTACTTCAAACGTTTCATCCGTTTTTCGTCTGTTGCCAACACCAATCTGTTTTCAGTTTACACATTATTACAAGTAGTTCCCCCTGTCGAGCTGAGTCCGTTTTAGTGGGCTTTCAGCTTCTGCATTGCCATCGCCGTGTTGTTGTTGCTGTCCGCCTTGGAGGTGAGCTGTTGCTGCTGCTGCTGCTCCAGTTGCTGCTGCGCAGCCTTGGACTTCCTGTAGCTCTGCATGTAGAAGTTCATGAAGAGGCAGAAGAAAATGGAGGCGTTCAGCAGGAGCAGGGCCGAGATGAACTTGGAGAACTGACACTGGTTGCTGAAGAGGGCACGGGTGGTGTGAACAATGCACAGCACGAACTGGGCCTGTAGAAGACACAAAATAAATATAATTATAAGTATATTAAATATATTTTTTAGATGAGCTAACCCTTTCCCTATCCTATTCAAATCTATGATGTAACTGTGATCTGCAGTGCCTAATCATACGTATTTTGTTATAGAGCTTGTGGGAATCATACGGTAAATAAAGCTATTACACCTGAATGCTGGGAAAGTTCTACCGAGGTAGGACACACGCCCCTCCAGTAGGCCACAATCAACGCTCGCTGGGCTGGACTTGACCCACCTCTTTCTGGTCATTGCTGACCGCATGAAGGGCAGAGCTTGTCTCGTTACGGAAGCTGTAACGTCATCCAATTAGCCAGGCCGCTTACTGTCGAGTCATATAGCCAACCTACGGCACTGGTGGAGCACCCTTGAGCACTTGCCCCGGGTAATCAATAAGCACTCAATGTTGTTACAACTTGTGCACATTGATTAGAATTAGCCAGAGTGTCTGGCTATTAACTAGCCATGATGCTAGTGGCTATGTTTAGCTGTGTCCAACAAATTGCCACTCGACTACCCCCTTCCATTGGCCTTTGGCAACCCCTTGGCGCGTGTTATAAATCCCATATTTATCGACCGTTTTTGATGTTGATCGATCATAAGATACATGTTTTGATGGCACCCACTTCTATAACTTCCACTAACTATCCAGTTATATACACCAAAAGAAAATTATTCTTAAGAATTTGGTGGGAATATTGCACTCTTCCAGGGGAAAATTGTATAAAAGCAAACTTAAATGTGAACTGAACCGACCTTTAATTAATTCTCTTATATTTTTATTTTAAATTTTCCTTATTGACCGTAATTTAAAATATTTTTTCCTCTGTAAACGCATCTATCTCGACAGGGTGCAGTTTTCGGTGACCTACAAATAATCATGCTGGCCAGCCAAGCGGTGCAGGTTTCCATTACCACTGCATCGCAAAGTCACTGAGCCAATAGCGGCAGTTGGCCAAGATGGCAACTGCAACTGCGGCTCGGTCCGCTCGTTGAAAGCCAACGTCGACGCTTAAACGCCCCAATGCACGAGACACGAGCCTGCTGGCAGCACCGTGGCCTGCGATGATTGATGGAAGTGGGCCAATCTCCGTCGCAGAGCCAATGGCCAGCTTCCTTCTTCTAAAATTTGTGGGAACTACTTCTATGGAGAGGGTCTAAACGGTTTCGTAACGAGGCTTCAATATATGCTTCTTTGTTTTCCTCACATTGAGCATACAAAGATTATAGCTCAACCGCAGTAGCCTCTTCCATAAATTGTTTGCAATTAAATGCGAAATTATTTTGCACGTTTTCCTAAGAGTTTTGACCTCGGAGCTTGTTTGTGGTTCGTGCCGGATTTTCTTAAATTAAATTGGTGTTTTAAATTTGTGTGGTGAATAGATTTTGAAAGCTCTTGAAGACCGGCAGTAACTTTAGCCAATAAGTGCTCTAGTTTAGGACAATCTCAAACGAAATCTCTTGGCAAGTTAAAGTGTTGGATATTTTATGAGGCGGTGACCTGTTTAAATTGTATATTGATTTTTTCGGAGGGGACTATTAAGTTTATCGGCTGCATTTACTAAGGTCATCTTAGGAAGCACCTTTCAAACTAGTTTTTGCAACATTTTGGCAATATCTTACAGGGTTTGCCTTCTTTTTGTTTTTACGAACCTACTGACCTTAGGGTCTAATCTTAATTGTATAGCCGTTTTAGACGTTATTTCAACCAATAATTACTAATTTCTTAGAAGCAATTATTAGTGTCATACGTTTACTTTATCTTATTTTCCAGTTAATCTATTCGAAAAAGTATTTTTACCCACTGTTGCCACTGATTGCATAATCTGGCCGCAGAGCATTGAACGTTGTGGCTGCGTGTGCCGGCAAATGCCGAACAAAATGCAGTTGCACTTGCAACATGACTGATCGGAGCGAACACCGGCAATTGAAAGTGGCAGATCGCTTGTTGACTTTTACCCAGTCACGGAGCCAAATGGCGAGAGTAGTCTGCCCAGTGGTCGGCATCGACAACCGCAAAGCGGTGGCTAAAGCTGCGTCTATCAGTGCTGACAATTTAAAATTTTTTGAAATTTTAGGTTAAATATGTAAATATTTTATAATACTGCACAATTTATCTCTGATTGCTTTTATGATTATAATGTTCTTAGCATCATTTTACTAAAATCTTTTTTATAGTTTTAAAACAAGTCTTAAAATGATTTGATAATGTAATTTAGCATTCTACATCTTCTTTAAACTGAACGCAAAAACCTTTAACTACCCTCTATCTTACACTCAACTAGCTTTCTGACTTTTCTTTATTAGCCTAAACAATTTACTAAATTCAAATTTACATATTTCTGTCTAATTTCTCTCTTGGCAGCACTGACACCTGTTTAGCGGGAGTTGGGACTCCAGCTGGAACGGTGGCCAGGGGCAGAAGCAAACCCGCAGGCACACGCAGACATTGTTGCAATGGCCGACATAGACACTCACCCAGTTGGTGTGGCAAGTTCGTCGCGGTGCTGGACAAAAGTGAACGCTCCGCTCCGCTCAACTCCATTGGAACTCCACTGAGCTCACTCGACTCGGCCAGTGGCGGGCAACATTCATTGCCGCAAAACGGAACGAACACGAAATGATAATGTAATCGAAACTGGTCGGTTTGGTGCACCAAATGTGGAAACTGTTGGTGGAATTGGAATTGGCCTACCTCGGCGAGCTGCGGGGATGTTGCAACAAAACGCGGCCAGCTAGTGAGCTGGCCAGCCGAATTGTTGGCAACGTTAGCCGGCAATCCGGCAATCGGCAAATCGGAACTTAACTTCAACTTGGGCTTGGTGGCGTTGTTTAAAATTTGGAGCACGCTACGCTTTTTGTGGCTAATTGGCCGACAGGAACCGAAAGAAGCCAGCGAGTTGCGCATGCGATTGCTAACACTTGGCCAATCTAGAATCGCAGTAAGCGCCAGAAGGTAGCAGCCGCTGGCGTGACAGATAAATTATCTATGAGATGCGTTTGCCTACTCATTAAATATGTCAGTGCAGCGCAGCAATTGCACAGGGAATACAGAGAGAGAAATTTTATAAGGCTAAGGGTTGCTTTTAAAAGTGAAATAAAGTAACTGAGATAATTAGGAAAGCTGTGTATAAAACATTATGTAGGGCTTTTATTTAGAACATTTCTAAAACGTGTCTAAAGAATTCATTTTTGTAAGGTTTCTAGATAATTTTCAAAGAAGGGTTTTGTTATTTTTCTCTTGGTGTAGAATCAAGCTACTGCAATTGGAAAACAACAAGAAAACTGCACAGCGACATCAACAGAAACAGCAATCAAAACGAGCACTCAACTGGCTACATATGCAAAAATTTTATAGACGCATAAAACGGGCACAGTGAGCACTCCCCTGCACAGACAGGGCCGGATTTAATGAATAAGTTTGATGTGCAACCAATTATCGATTAGGAAAAACATAATTAAAATGGATTTTTTATGGGCAATTAAGAAAAAAAGAATTGCATTTAAGATCCCAAATAAATGTATGACCAATTACAGAGACACAAAAAAGTCAATTCAAACTAAGAATAAGTTAAATTGGTATTTCAAAATAAGACGGACGTGTCTAACAGAGGCTGATTTTTTATAGAGGAAAAAATCTATTTTTTAATGGACTTTTAAAGAATGCCTACTGCTCGCCTCCTGCACTACAGCTTGTGTAGGAAAAACAAACCAGTGCTTGCTACTTAAGTTAGTCACCGAACGTTTGACAACTCAGCTGTGGAGCAGAGCTCTCAAGGCGATTCACTAACTAGCAACTACGGCAATAACAACTCTGGCAGGCCCGCTGCCAGTTGAATCTCGCAGCGAAGGAGGCCAGCCAGCGGCGGCAGAACAAACCAAACTTGCCATATTCCATGCGTTTCAAGAATTTCGACACTTTGGCAATAAGAGAGGTAGAATGCAATGGAACCCACTGTATGCCATATGTCTGCATTGGTTGGATCTGTCAATTATGCGTGGCCACTTGAAAAAAAAAAAGACTGGTCAGCAAGAACCGTTCAAGTGGAGCCAAGAGCCAGTCTAATACGACATCGAATTGACAACAGAAAAAAGTCGATAGGAAAAACCAGAACAAGACGAGATCTCGATTGTGTCGACATCACATGGATTCGCTTTAGTTCAAGCTGTAGATTCACTTCACTTTTGCTTTCGGCGACAGAGATCTCGATTCGCCCGGTTGCGCAATTTGGCCAGAATGTGTGATCGATGCCCGGGAGATTCGGCCTTTGGCCTCCAGAAGCTTGGCCAGATAGAAATCTAAGGCCTAAGACAAACAGCCGGCGCGGCGGAGGCCGAATCTTAGTTTCAGAGTGGCATTTCGGCATTTGGGCAAATGCAAGAGACACAGTTAGAAGCATTAGCCAACATTTTATTTTGGCAATATAAACACAGACAGCAACAGGTATCCGTGGTGCCGCCTCGGTGTGTGTGCCTTTTGCGCCCAATGAATAATGCCAATTTATGTGGCAGAGGCTGACTCTTGGTCCAAGTCTGAGGCACGGCTCGGATTGCCGGTCTAACTGGTTTGCATTTTTGGCGGCGTCTTGGCCAGCCAGCCACTAGCTAGGCAGCCAGCCTGCCTGCCAATTGCCAAAAGCTAATGGCAACCAACGGCTAAATTCGATCTATGTCCGAAAAATATATTTCACACATGCCGCGCCGGACTTCTAAACACGTTTCGTTCGCTTTTAATTTCTGGCCCCGGAATCTGTGCTGGAACTGATTCCATTTTAATGAGCCCCCACCCCTGCCCCCCGCTGGGTACTTACGATCTGCAGCTCGGTCATGTACTTCTTCCACCACAGGAACTTGGCGTACTCGGGTCCCATGGCGGCCATCATGTAGTAGAAGTACATGCACACATGGACGAAGTTGTTCAGCAGATTCGGGAACGTGGCGTTTCCACCTGAAAGAGGTAATTTCAAATGGTTACTGTCGCGGGAACTTCATTAGGGGAAGAAACTAGAACTAAAGAGTGGCATTTCCATATTTTGGTATCGTCAGGTTTTCAGAACAGGATGACACTCATTCGAAAAGGTTAATTATAACATATATCATGTGTTAATGTTTAGGATTACTTAACACAAAATTCTACCGACATAATTTATATAAGCTTTTAAGAAGAGGAAATTTGCCTAATTTCTTTAACAACTCAGAGATATTTCTTTCAACTCACCTGCCAGGAACTTGACCAGCACCCAGGTCTCCAGCGGCGTCACCGAGTGATGGTACACATGCAGCCAGGTGATCTGACTGGACTTCTTGCGCAGCACAAAGAACACAGTGTCGGCGAACTCGGTCAGCTTGGACAGGTAGTAAAGGTAGCATAGGTTGAGCATCTGCGTGGGGGGAGAAAAACAGGGGGTGGTGTGCGGATCAGTGCGAGTGCGGCAAGGTCGTTGGGCTAGGCAACAACAGATAGTAGTAGTAGATACATAACATATGTACGTGCTCAATTAGCACAGAAACCGCAGCGGCGAAAAGAAGAGCTTGCGCAATGACATTGACAACGTTTTCGTTCCGCCGCATCTCGTTTGGTTTCGTTTCGGGTAGTTTCTCTTCTTGTTCAAGCACTCAACTCTTCTGTTTTCATTTTTATTTTCATTTTCATTTGCTCGCAAGTATTTGCCAAGCAAGAATCTTGGGCTGGCTGAAGCTATTGAAACGCTTGGCCATCTAGCGAGTGCACACGGCGTATGAGCAATGTAAACAATGGCGACTTTTATGACGGTGCTAAGGCGCCGTGGACTTATGTAAATTACTAATAAAACTGGATGACGGATGCTAATGACGTTGAGGTCCCAAACAGAGTTTATTGACTTGTCAGCGGCTGGGTTTTTGATATTTTTGGGGCTATTTTTTACTCTTTGTTGCCCGTTGCGGATGTGAAATCGATCAAAGAACGGAAGAATCGGAAAAAAACTGGGGAAGCTTGGCCTGGCCAGTGTGGTTTTCTCAGATTTTATGCTCTATTGATTCAGAGCCCAAACAGAGCCAAAGTACAATCACAATTGCAAACAAACCAAACTGTTTAGGCCCGCTTAAAAAGTTGTTAATTTGATTGTAACACAAGCAATCGACAGAGGCCTTGAGGGTGTGGCAGTCTCGAATATTTATTTCTAATACTGGAGGGCTTAAGTGATTGCAATTGGTAGTCTCTACTGCCTGAGAGTCTGGCTTTTACCTGTTGATTTTGTAAGGTCTAGGGAATATTTTGCAATTGGTTTCTGTATGAATGAAACATAGTATTTCCCCAAAGAGTGTGGAATATATATTACCTATTTAACCAAAGGCTAACCGCAGCCAGTTTCAGCTTGTTACACTTTTACAAACATAAAATGCCTCATTTGCGGTGGACAGACAAATTGGCATACAAATTATGCCTTTAACTTTAAATCTCTCATTACACAATTATTTATTTTAATTGATGGCTGGGAAAATGGGTAAACAATCGATTGAGAGGCGTAACAAATTGCTGCCCGAAAAGCACTTAGATGTACATACATAGAATTTGGATTAAGAAGCCTTCTCCCATCCAGTCTCCATCTCCAAGTCTTAATTGCCCCGCCGAGTACATTTGAATGTGAACTTTGTGCCGTCATAGAGCCGTAATTAAAACATTTAGCTGCCGTCGCTTCTGCGCTATGACTGGTCAAAAAACTTAGCTTCGAGCCGAACTCTACGGGCAACTTAAATTGGTCTTGAGGCCTGAGACGGAGTCAATGAATCATCACAAATAAAGGCAACGAACTTGCTGGTCAGCGGCGGAAGATGAACCCACCGACAAGGTGAGCTAAAAAAAAAAAAATAATAAGAAAAGCCCAGAGCAAACCGGCTAGCTGACAAATGCCAAATTATATAATGGAAGCCATAAACTCCTTAAGTCCACGCGTGCCTCTCCGAACAGAAGACCACTTGGGGATGGGCGCGGAGCTCGATATAATTCAGATTCTAATTTCTAAATTCTAATTTTGACGGACCGGTTGCGTCCGTCCACTTACCCTCTTGGAGCTGGGACCATCGGAGTAGTCGACCGGTTGGCACTTCAGATTGTAGTAGTTCAGCCAGCCGGCCATCAGGTGCTGGGGGAAACCGGAAAGGGAACGACGTTAGCAGACTAGTAGGCTAGATCAAGTCCAGATCCGGACACGGAACTTACCTCGTAGAACATGTAGCCGCTGAGGGCCACCTGGAAGGCGTTGTAGATGACCAGGGTGCGGCGCAGCTGGAAGGGCTTGCGATCGCGCATAAAGAGTGGCCCGAAGACGAGGACCCAGGAGAGGTAGATGGCCACCAGGCCGAACGTGAACATAGGATGCTCCATCAACGGGAAGCGTTCAGCACGCGGATCTGCGAATGGAATAGAGGAAAGCCATCAAATTAATTGCTGCAATATTGTTTTTAATTAATCTCGCTTTCGGTTTTGTTTATGCTAATGCAGACCAGCTTTGATTTGCATTTCATTAGCCTGTAGCACTTCGCGTTAAGACAACCATTCAATTTATCCCCGCTGAATGGAATCGTGGCTACAAAAATAAAAATAAAAAACAATTCGCCGGCGTGTTGTCACTGAATCGATTAAAGTGTCAGCAATGTCGCCTTTCCACTGAGCAATAATTGTAAGCTATGTGAGGCATTCGTTTAGAAAATAATTCCACTTGCACTTCTTAATAGACATTGTCGTCATAGCCCGATAATGTGGAGGAACCCCCTGATATGGAAATTAATTGCCAGCGGCTTTTGATTATTTTTTAAATAGACCAACTTTCCTACAGCCCTGGGTTGTTTACAACAGAAAGTGATTAAAGGCATAGTAAAAACTTATATTGTAAATGTAATTGCAAATATGGCAGTGGAAGCCTGAGATCACGTTTTTTTGCTGGATATTCTTGACCTGTTTAAGTTAGCTATCGATTGTGCACTGTGCTTATTTATTCAAAATGTATTTAAAATGAACTTGTTTAATCTTTAAATGGATGATCAATAAAAGTAATTCAAAGTGGCTTTTCTACACAATATCCATATAATATAAATGCACAATTTAAGTTGTTCTAGCAACAAATAATTTGTACGTCAACGTTCTAAAACTTTTCCTCTTTCATCGTGTCAAGTTCGTGTCCTAAGTCTTTTGTTTACAGTCGCAACTTTTGAAAGATTTCGCCTCGTAAGCATGATTTTAGCACTGTTTAATCCCTTTTAGCTTGGTTTAGTACCTCTAAAGCAGAGGTGTTCACTATTTGCACAGGTTTTTATTGCATCTGCCAGCCATTGACCTTTCCCGGGTGAAGCTTTTCATTGCCAGGAATGTCTATATGGATCATACAACCCAACATGTGCGCTCGACAGACGCAAAAAAAACCCTAGGGGAAGTCGCCGTGTTCGAAGTGCCTTTATTGTGCCTAATAAATACATGCTCAGCTGCACACGGCAAAAACCAAAGGCAACCGTCGTCGTCGATGTCGACGGTCGCATCATAAAAATGGCTAAGATAAGCAATGTAAATACATTTTAATTACGTTAATAATTGTCAAAAATACAATTGGCATTGCCAAGGTCGACATTTAAGACGCACAAACACTCTCACACACACACAAGGTACTACGACAACAAAATAAAAACCTTTTTAATTGTCCTAGAAGCTTTTTGTTTTGGGTTTTTTCTTCGTTTTCTGGTTTCATTTTCTCTTTAGTTTCATTTTTAGTGTTGCTTGTACTCGTTTTGTACTCGCTTTATTGGCGTTTACGTTTTTGTTATGATTTGGCAGCCATAAAAACGCCAATTCATTATTTTTATGCATTAATAATTTGACTATGCTGGCCGATTCACTTGACGGCGGAGTCTTGGCAAATCGATTGATGCTTTGACTCTGATTGGCATTCTTCAATAGAAGGATTACCATCACTGGACACCTACCGCCGTAATCCTCCTCCACCAGTTGGTAGTAGCGCTGGACCAGGCCAGTGTAGTTCCGCGAGATGTGGTGCGTCTTGAACTCGTCCAGCGCAATGTTGGCTATCTCCACGACCATCTCGAACCGCGAACTGCTGTTGTAGTTGTGGTAGTTCATCGTCATAATGCTGCTGCTCCTTTCGGTTTCTCGTTGCCTTTTTTAAGATCCGAAGTGCAAACACTTTCTGCTGAGTGCTGTTTGTGCTTTTGTTAATTAGTTTGTATCAGAGGCTCGCCGCAGGATTTCGCATGCTGCGCTCAAGCCGCTCAAGTCAATCACTTTCTAGTCCTTTCGTTGCCGCCGAAGCTGCAGCTGGCACTCGCTCAGAAAAATCACTCTTCGACTCGCTGAGTTGCTAAACTCGATTACTGGGATTCGCGCAGACTTGGCTGATTCTACCACCACACCGTAGGAATGTTTATGCTCAACTGAATCTGAAACTTCTCAGCAATCACAAGATAAAGTAACTTTTTCGCGGCGGCAGCGCAGCGGCGCCGGCGATCGCGGCTTAGCTACTACAACAACCAAGCCGATCGCGGCGGCGGCTTCGGAAACTCAACGAACGTCGAATGCGCACAGAACAACGGAAGTTTCGTTCAGTTGGCTCGCCGCCGCACTGCATGCTGCACCTGTGTGCGTGTGCTTGGCCCAGTGAGTTGTATTTTGTTGTTGCCGCTCGCTGGGTTGTTTTTTTCTCGATTTTTTAGCATGTTTCGTTTGGCATTCAACTTTTGATGCTGCTGCCGGCAGCCGTTCGATGGTTTCTGCGGGTGAATTTGCTTTTTTATAGGTCAATGCACTAAGATATGCTGGAATTAATTCGTGTTTGCAAATGGAAATTACTCTTTGGCTAAAAAGGAATGCAGTTGGCAAAGACCTGATGTTTGCCATATTGATTACAAGTGACCTATGATTCTAAGGCTGATTTGTGTTACGTTTTGTTACTTTTTGTTTACGTATTATGCAATCTAAATAAGTGCCTATTGTTAAAAAATATTTCAGCCAGCTTTTACAATTTATTTAGACCCCAAAATGTATTATTTGAATTTTTTTTATTGCTTTCTTAATAACTGCTACATAACTAAATAAATAAACTATATAAAATAAACTAAATAATTATTTTCTCAACACTTGAGCAAATTTAAATTGTTTATAAAATATACAAATTATTAAACTGTTTATGATTGACGAGTTCAATAAGGGAAAATCTGTTTGTGAAATTTTAAAATCAAAGCCTGGTTCTATGGGCAAATTGAAAAATGTATTTATAAATGTATTTAATTTCTGTGGTTATTGTGGTTAATAAATTATCAAGAATTGAAGTAATTTATTAAAGTTAGTAATTTATGGGCATATCTCTAAAATACCTTGCCCCTCAAATCCCACAAAACACATAAAAAATAGAAAACTAAGATGTACAAAATTTCCATAGGCAAAATAACTTTACTTGGGAAAATTTTATTATAGCGTCATATTCAGAAGTAATACTTATTTTTCCCTTATTATGACCCACAAGTTCATGCTAGCTCCGGGGACTCCCTCACCACATTACACCTTACAATTTAATCCCCACTTTTACAAATGGAAAATATACTTCTTGGAATGTAATTGCAAGTCACATACTTCTATTTTCCGTTTCTAAGGAGACAAACTGGTTTTCTGTCAGCAAAGTGGTAACAATTAAAGCACGCTTTAACAACATCGTTAACGTATGTGAATGCCTTACTTTGTGACACACCATATTTAAGGCTTGAGCTAGGTTAATTCCTGGACTTCCGGCTTGTCTTCGGGTGACCTCAGGTGGTGTTTACTTCAGCGCGTCAGACTGTTTTTGTAATTCCCATTCATGCTTACAGGCCAAACGTCCAGCCAGTATAACCTGTTCTTGAGCCATCGGCCCTTGAGGTGTTGCTTGGGGGTCTGGTGATGTGCTAAACGAATTCTCGATGGACTAGACATAGACAGTCGGGCAGCAACCCTCCCAGAATGGTCGGCGTGCGATACGTGTCAAGGTGGCATCTTATTCTGAATCTAAAATAGATGGCACGCGGCTTATGGAACCAGAACACTGTCCTACGTGAATTTTCAGTGTTTTAAATACCTATGTATTATAGCTCTACATTTATACATCTTTGAATTTGGTTTAAACCGCTTTAAAACATTGATTTTTGTAAAACTTCTTAGTTCAAGTAAAGAAAAATATAGTAAAGAAGATATTGTAGAATATATGATTTGCAGTCCAGTGTAATATATCCGGAGATATTGCCAGATTGCCATCTTGTATTTCAGCTTAAATAAAGGAATTTCATTAAGTTCTATATTTTGTTTCTTGACAACACCTCAAGTTCGTGTCCTAAGTCTTTCGTTTATAGGCATAATTTGATCGCCCTTTTGTGTATTTGAACTTGATTTATGATCTATCAGATTAGAAATAGACACTTTTTGTGAATGCGAAGGAGCCTCGCATTTCCAGAATGCCCCCCGCCTGGTAAACGTGTCAAGGTGGCGTCTCATTCGAGATCAAAGCCAGATCCATAATCGATCCGGAGATACGTGCAGAATGGTATCGTGATCAAGGCAACCACTGGGCTGTGCGTCGTTAAGCCCAGCCAAGTATCGGACGTGCGACGGAACCTTCATCGAGGCCTTTACGACAATATCTTGCAGTAATTATGCCATTGAGTGCCGCATGAACAACTCACCGTACAGAACCATTTTCGTTTAGTGACAAATTAACGCCGCGCGCATTGAGCGCCGGGCAAATTGTTCTTCGAAGTTCAGCCCGGCCGGTTCGACCTTTGGCTTGATTATTTTGGCCATGTTTGGGGCCGAGACCGGCTTGGCAAGGATGATGACGTTGCCGGCTATGACTACGGCTACGCTGCTAACGGTTGAATGCGGATTGGCCACGCTTGGATTGGACTCTGCGCGGCTCTGCTCTTCTGTGCTCTGCCCTGGCATTTGGTTTTCACCCGTGGCGGCTCCTAGCCGCGGATGAGCTTGGTAACAGCCCCTCGGATCTCACGGTCTAGGTCTAGGTTAGTCGGAAGTCAAAGAAGGCAACGCCGTCAGCCAACCGGACCAAGATTTCGATGATAAATGTATGCTTTGATAGCTCCAGTTTTGTTGTGATTTTCTGCGTCGCTTTTTCTACTTCAAAAGCTTCTTTTTTTATTTTGCAGATTTCCGTTCCATCAACGTGATATTTTTGCCATTGGCGAAATAGCTTTGACTTCATCATAATCAATAAGTTTTGAATATGTTTATTATGGCAAATGCTAAATGTTTGTCGCTTATTATTCGCCTGATTAATGGCCCTGGTGCTGACAAGACATTGGTATTTTAGTCGGGAAAGTTCGACACGGCTTTATATTAAATAATTTGCAAAATCACTACATTTGTTTTCTATTCAATGAAATTTATTAAAAATCAAGATTGTTGAAACACAAATTTAACTAATTTTATTATATCTTGCCTAAGATTTATATATCTTCTGCAGCAAATTTGAAAAATATATTTTATCAATGTTTTGAAAAGATATACCATGCTAATATTTTACGCCAATAGTTTTTGAGCCGGAACTTGACTCAATACACTCGCGGAATCTGCAATGATAAGTTTGATTATATTCTTTCTACAATAAGTATAATCAATATTTAAATCCATCGAATGTTTAGCAAGATTTCGCAGATTCTATCCGCATCCGTTAAGTAACATATAATGTTTCGCAATGTTTGCTTTAACGCTTAGCTTAACTAATTCTTCACTGAGCACAGACCACTGACAGCGCAGAGAATGATTGTGCATAAATTTTAATTAGCAAGTATATGTAGCAAATAATTAGCAATCATAAATTAATTAGCACTGAATAGAATTGGGTGTGGGTGTTAACACGTCAGACCGGGGACATGATGGGGCTTTTCTGGAGCGTTTCAGAACGCTCGTTCGCTGGCAGCTTGACCGCGGTCGTTTTTCAATTTCTAATAACGGAATGTTTTCGAAAGGCTGGACTGGACTGGACCCTGATTAAAAGGTCGAAACGTATCGGGGCCGGTAAACAGCAATTACCAATTACGCTGCAGCAGCGACGGCTTATTAAGCCTTTTTATTAATCGCGCCGTGGAAGTAACAACATTTTTGTTCGGAGTTTCGCAATGGCTGCTATTGGATTGCTAAATGCTTCATGTCAACTCCGCCGGCGATGGTTTATCTTCAGATCTGGGGCCATACTTAGTCTTAATTGCGTTGCAATTTGGTGCAGAAAAGCAAGCAGCACGCCCTGACCTTGGGCACGACGGCCCGAAAAAGAGACAAGACTTTAATTTAAACATTCGAGCATATTTATATCACACACATGTGCAGATGATTTGGGCACTCGGAATTTCAAGCTCGATATACGTTCGCATTTGCGTGGCTAAGACCTGGCCAAAACACTATTGGCCCTAATTGAATGGGCAAACCCAGAAGTTGCTGCCCAGATTCAGTTGGGTAATCGTCAAAGAATTGGTAACTGAGGCTTCTCAAGCCGTCAAGATGGCACGTTCGATGGTCACTAAGATGGCCAGCGGCGGGTGCGAACAATATTGTTTGGGGGTTGAAATATACTTTCTTGGGGCTATAATTTAACAAATTATTAACCACAAAATATTAACAAATTGAAAGGCAAGAAGCTTTGAATATGTTTTACTCTTCATTTTGCCCTATCCCATTGAAATAAAGAAATTTTAAACTATTATAAAGTTTATTTAACACGCACAAATATCTTCTTTACTCAAAGAACTCTCTGATCCAAAGAAAATGTTCAAATACAAATATTTATTAATAGTTTTCGGGGTACTGCCAACCCTGTTATAACCGCCACTGAACTTAGCTAAATAAAGTTAGAGGCCAAAAGCTGCTGCTGCTAATCAATTGGCCAAACTTGCGGCCAGTTACAACTGAAAAAAACATCGAGTGAAGTACATCCAGCAAAATGCACAAACATCTCGAACTTCAAAATAAAGTTATATATGAGCTCAGCTCCGAGATTTTTTGTAGCTGCTCATCAGCTTTTAATTTTCGGGTTTATGAGGCAAAACGGCCAGCGAAATGATAAAGTTCTCGGCAAACCGCAGCTCGACGCTTGCGAATGTTGAACTTGAGAGCGGCAATATACATATTTTTGAATATAATTAAGAGCGGGCTACTCCAAGAATAGATCTGCTGGCAGCCAATTAGCAATTAAAAGTTCACTTTGAACTTGACACAGTTGCTGAGCGCAAAAAAAAATCACAGACACTGTGAATTGCCTCAGATATATGGCCGGTATTGAGAGCTGGCGAAAATATCGAGACTAGAATGTATAATTATGCATCTTAATTGGTGGCGGCTACTAAATGAAAACCGCTCTGCGCGATCGAGTCTATT